ACTGAATGCAAGATTATACCGAAAATTTAATTTGGCGTGGTACCTCTGTACTTAAGCAGAAATTCAACATTCGAAATTCAGGCACTTTGCTTAAACGCGTACCTCGTTATGAGCGACTGTGTAGACCTGTGTATTAAATATAATGTAATGCAGTTTCAAAGTGTGGTCAGTCTCATAACTCTTAAAAAAATTCTTTCTTTTTTAGTTGTTGCTTTTAGAACTGTATTTACATTCATTGGAATTACTCAGACAACCTCCCTAAGGCGCTGGTGCTGTGGGGCCCTCCTCACTCTGATGTTGTGTCCCACCGGTCGTAAAAAGTTTATTTGCGAGTTTTTCGGATGAAAGGAATGGCCGCCATCAACGTAACGAACTGCAGCGATGCAGCAGAACACGTTTTGTTGTTGCAGGAACATGTTAGTTGTAATTACTTTCTCCAGCAGCAGCACCACAGAAGATGCCACGATACCAGCCAGAAGGAAGCCGATGATGGGTGCAACTTCTTCCAACCTTACCCTTGTCCATGCTGCATTTTCTTTGCTAAATGTCCGCCTCATACTGTCATATACTCGGTGTTTGTACAAGACGCCATTTGATCGTAATTTATTCAGGCTGCAACATTACAAATACACTAAATTATGTGAGTGCTGGCTACTGACAAAGTAGTTGTAGTGGGGCATGTTTGTGAGGTCGAGTGCCTCCAGAAATGTGTATGCAAGGCACCATATAACCTGCAGGCCTATGACCTACACCAGATATCTTACCATTCCAGACATGACAAAACTCAGTAACTTCTAGGGACTGAGATATGGAAGTTGTATCTTCCTGAAACTGGGTGACACTTGTGTAGCTAGTGTCAAGTTGTAGACTGACACACACACACACGCGTGTAGGAAGTATATACTACGTTTATTTGGTTACGAATCTGCAGTCATTGCATTCTAGCCCACTTTCTCGTTATATCCATAATAGCAATCATTATAGAATCATGATTTATTCCGCTAAATTTTGTGATGTCCTAAAATCTCATCGGCTGGCATTTTAACATTATTTTGGATACTGACTGTCCCATGAAACATAAATGATGACTTCATTAGTTTCTTTGTTTTCTTGTAGATTCGCCAAAACTGGAAATCTTTTCAAAATTTTAGCTTGGCTTCGCGGAATTACCTTAGAAAAGGAGACACGATAACTACAGTCAGCTTGTCATTCGATCGCAGTCTCAAGCTATATAACTTACTTGTAATTGAAAAGCCCTAGGTACGGACTTCGTTTAGCAATCGCAAAGCCTTGTGGGATGTATAAACTTGTTTCACGCGGCAGAGGGACGACAGTGCAGTTTACTTTGTTCTTGAACGCCAGCGCTGTGTCCATTGACATCAAGAAGGAATACTTGGAGTTGCAGACCTTATGCATTCCGTCCAGTACGGACGGTTGGACGTTGTCTTGGTACGATTCGCCATACGTTTTATCGAGAAATTGTCTGGAAGGCTGTAGGGAGTAGAAGGGAAGTCATATTAAATTTGATAATGTAGTGGTAGTTCAACATATTCCACAGTCGCTGGAGAGAAATTTAATACCCTCTGTTGAAAATGTATATTCAGATCTGCTTGATTTCAGCTAGGTCTACTATGCACAGTATGGCGAGAACTACAAAGTTATTGTTTTAAAAATTATTTGTTCATTCTGTGTATAATTACCACAAATTTATGACATTTAACTTAAAAATCTTTACTCCGACGCCACGTTCGATTAACATATGAAGCTGTTTCTTATAGAACGAATCTGTGTGTTTTTAATCTGATCTCCATACATGCCTAGTTCCAGTGGTTAAATATTTAATGCGATGTTATAATTTTTCATTTTACATATTATTACCTTTCTTTTCGTCCCAATTCACAAGTCCGTACAGCCGACATGGTTGTATTAATTATGTTCGGGCATTAAAGATTACAAATTTTGCGTGACCGTTGTATTAATTAGTTCAGAAGTTGAAGGAAAACATTCTCTTATGTTTTTGTTCAGAATCTCTCTCCAGACCTTTCTGCTCAAGCATGGTACCTCGGAGATGTAGTTCTGGGCGTGCTTGCTGAAGAGACTCTCGAGGTCCGTGTAAGGCAATCTGTTTTCATGAACTGTCAGGAACGATATGAAGGTGGCTGAGTATGTGCCGAAAATCATCACTGCAATAATGTACATCGAGATGCACACGAACCGGCAGGAGTATGACCGGGGCGTCGTGTCGTGACCTGTCAACGAAACGACGGGAATTATACTCAATGTTGCTCGTCATATGGCTTCATCATCGTCCCACTTCGCGATGGTATTACATACATGAGTTTGAACGAACATTTAATGGCATGACGTTAATAACAAAAATTCATGAAAATCCGATTAGCCGTTCTTGTAATATTAGGCCTATACTGCAGAACATGTAATTTGTTTGGCCACCGTTAGATGGCAGCACAACAGACGGACGGACAGAACAGGCTCATAAAGTGTTCTTCGCTGCTGAATGGCGTAAAGCAGTGGTATTCAACCTTTTTTGTTCGCGTACCCCCAGATATAATTTCTCTTCAACTTTGTACCCCCAAAGTTGTTGGTGTATAATTCAAGTTATACATAGTATATAATCTACATCTAAAATTAATTAAATAAATTACATTACTGATTATTCAGTATTTATCATAAAAATAATATTTTTTTTTTTTAAATTTCACGTACTCCCGAGGGTACGCGTACCCCAGGTTGAATATCACTGGCGTAAAGAACACCAAAATTTTTTTTACCCCATCTGTGAATTGATTATTATTGTTGTTGTTGTACGTATTATTCAGTTCGATCACCTGCTGTTAATACCAGACTGACATTTATTTTACCTTGTTGACAAAATATGCCAAGTACTAGCAGCAAGGAGTCGCTGAACGTGTAAAATTTGATCTCGTCAGCCTCTTGGTTGCCATAGCGCTGCCCCAGGTAGTATAGCAGTGTATAATGGATAGCGATGACGATGACCGTGGCCATCATAGCTACCCAGAGCATGACACTGAACGGAGCCAGAAAGTTGTCCCACTGCAGTTTTAGGCTGTCTGGGGACTTCACGATGACACAGTACCTGGCATCAGACGGCTCGTTAGTTAAACACAGTATTTAGCGAGTCAGTTATACATTTTTATATGCAGTTTTGTTTGTTTAAATAAATTAGTGCCATTGTTATGTGATTTGTGGTGTTTTATTAATTTCCATAATTACATACACGGAGAAATTACTAGCAGATTAAATACGGGCAATCCCTGTTATTATTTAGTTCGGATCTGAAACAATAAGGATTAATAAAAATATAACAAAAATGTTATCTGTTGTTTTTTATGCGTATTGAAGATGATTTCTTAGCTCAAGGGAAGAACGAACATTGAGTGTGAACTGTAGTATGGCAGAAGTTTACCAACCTTTCAGAGGTTCTTGCCCCAGTCATCTGGAGACCAATCATTATACTACACGACATTACAACCCAGAGGACAGCAGTCTTACTCGCCACTGCCAGAACCTGAAATCTCATCTAGTATTGTGTGTGGTTTCTGAGATTCTTGTTCCAGAGAGTTGAGTTCTAAAGAGCCTGGTGATTAATGTACCTTGTAGAAAGCAGGGGCACCGTGAAATCGACAGCCGTGGCTCGTATCCCACTCATTCCAAATGCGTCTACAGCCACGTGTACCTGATTGTCTTGTATCATCCTGATCATTCCAGTAGCAGTCCCGTTCTTCATTACCGATCCTCTGCCGCCATCAGCAGGGAAACTGAAGTTCGTCCTGCAATGATGCGTGAAGTTCTGTGTATTCGTTGCCTTATCATATGGGTAAAGCCAGTCCTGACGCTCTAGAACGCTCGGAAATAGAAACCTCCTCTCTCGTTTGTACGCAGTATTTAAATAATTATTTGAAAAGGCGGTGTCCTAGAGACTCAGGCAGCGTCGACGTAAATGGACGCAGGTAGTGTATTTCTCACGAGACGAAGCAGAAAAATAAGTTTTAGTTCAGTATCTCACCGAACATCAAATCGTGTGTTATCACGTGTGCACATACGTGTAGGCAGGCATGACTGAACGTCATAGCAGAATGCGCAGAAGCCCTGCTTCGTACTCTGCAGTCCCTGAGTTCAAGTTTTGGCTCGGCTTTTTCCTTGATTTATTCAGTCTGTCCGGGCAGATGCCGTAATAATGCCTTAAAAAGAAAAACGTAGACACGAGATGATAACGCGGCATCATAATATTAATAGTAGATTAGATGGCTGTCTTCTGGGTTGTAGTGCCCTGTAGTGTGGTAGACGTTTACCAATGTTTCAAAGGTACTTGCTGCTTCCATCGTCAGGGAGATTGCCTTTTGAAGGACCTTCGAAACGTTGGTAAACTCTACCGGAATACTCGGCGCTACAACCCAGAAAACAGCCAGCCATCTTCAGACTCACCGCCATGAAAACCTCAAGTCCTACTGACAGAAACTTTTGTAATGTACCACTGATATAAACAGCGGTGTCAAGATAATATTGATCTGAGCGTCAGACCTTTAACAGAGAAGCAGCAACACCAACACAGGCAGGTAACAAGACAGCTGAACAAACTGCCACTTCTGTTACCACACTTGAGAACTACCGTCAGATGAAGTAAACAGTTTTCTGGATATTATCCATCGTCCAATAAATAAAATCCACGACGTTTCGGAGATGAAACTCTATCTCCGTTTTCAGGTAGACCTACTCAGTTGCGCTAATCGATAGAGCTAATCCCTATCTCTGGAGATAGAACGTGCCTATCTCCAAACAGTCACCTGAAATGCATCAGAATCTTTGCTACCAAGCAACTGACAGCCACCCGCCTTCTTGTTCGGACATTATTATAACTGAAATTGATCTTAGAAGGTCGCTTACCTGAATTCCATCCTCTTCTCCAGGACACGCCATACCTTACCGAAGTAGCCACTAAATTTAATTTGACCGTCAGTCCTTTCAAGCACTGTGATTGGAGGATTCTATAACAGGAAAATGTGTCGTTAAATAAACTCATCCTTTACTCCTGTTCAGTAAAAGCAGTCTCTGTATCAGCCTACTTTCTTATTTTATAAAACAATACTTAGTCTATGTTAACATGGTGTATCTGTATGTATGAGTGTGCAATGTCTTTCTGTGTGTTTGTTCACGCTAATACTGGCTACTTCTGGATCAGCAGACGAATTATCACGATATTTGATGTTATTGGAGTCTACTTCAAGTTTTCCTTTTAAATTCCTTACCACTGATATTAACACGGGAGGCGTGTGAATTTCTGAAGTGAAAGAGACGCTATTGTAATATGATGTGCTGGCCCTCAAATGTGTACATTATGGTAAACCAGGTGTTGTTGTGGATCAACATGGCTGCCGCGCGGAATATGTATTTATTCTTCCGTTTGATATCTACGTGCATGAATGTCTCGTCATCCAGAGGAAAGAGATTGAAACTGGGATGATTAAGTTCTGCACGGAGCCTGCTAAATATTTACAGCGTGCCAGATTTAAATTACTCACGGCCGCTTTATTAGTGATTTATTAAATGATTCTGTGTTGTGAGGAACAGTTTCAATTCAGGGGAAGTGCTAAAAATTATACTCGAATGAAGGTCAGATGTTCTGAACTTGGCATATAGTAACTGAAACTACGCAGTTTAGTTGGTCAATTTCAGTTGTATGCACACTTGTTCATTTGATCACAAATCGTGCTGTTGTCTTTGACGGAATAATTTGGCTATCGACAAACATGGTAGATGACAATCAGTTTCGCCCGGAAGTAATCAGCACTGCCTCTGTGTTCGATTGGTTTGTCCGTTTATTTATGTGTTTATTTCTTCGAAGAAACTTTTCAGAACTCAGTTAGTGACTTTTTCGGGCATCGTGGGACATGGAAGGGAACTATAGTATCTAACTTAAATAGTTAGTAGTTTGAACAAAAGCTTTTCGTACAGTGTTTACCGTTTCTGTCGGACTGGTTACAATGCAAGAACAAATAGTTTTATTGTGCAAAAGCCATCTGTGTCCATTGTTGTTGATTCTTGTCAGTCACTTTTTACACACGTAACTTGCTTGATAACCTGTAATGCAACAAGCGATCACTATGTGTCGCCGCGACAGCATGGCGACGTAACGACAGTAACCATAATAGAGTTCTACCCTCTCTTTATTTTATCCATACCTCAATAGTTGCCGTAGAAATAGAAAGACCTTGGAGACTGGACCTCCTGAAGTAGAAATCTGTCGAAGGAAATCTGAATGTCGTCTCTGATAACCAATATCCGAAATCGTGGTAGAGGAGCGGCCTTTCTGTTGCGATCTTGTATACTTCTGTCAGCATGACCAAGCCTCCTGCATTCTGCTGAGCTACCAGGAACTCGCAATCAAAAGGGATGTTGCTGTCACCAAGAAACTCTTTCGGAGACGAGGTGTTGTCCAAGAGAAGCAGCCATGTCGGCCCAGTCAGACTTGTTGTGTCGGACAACTAAAGAGTAAAACATTAATTACGAACGCATTGTCTGCAGGGGTACACATGAGGTTGTAATGAGGTTATGAGGTGACTGATTCGGGTTTATTCAGCGATGTTTTTTCAGTTGCTTGTCAGTCAGTTTTCACACTCTTACAGTACAGGATTTGTAAACTATAAATTCGAACACGTTTGTAATGTCAGTGTACGCCAATGAATACACGGGTACATCTTTCCAGTTTGTTGACGAAGTTCAGAATAGTCTGCACTTATGCCTTTATATGAAGTTAGAGTAAAACTAAGAAAATAAAGATTATAATTGTGTTTATTGTATTTGATAACAAGTTTTTAAAGAGAATATATAGAAATGCGAGTAAGAGAATGGTGGGGAAAATAATATAATTTGGAGCTTCATTATTTGCACCCTTAATTATAGTCAGTACGAAAAATCAATATATCAGTGTTATAGTAATTAAAATGTATGTTGTTGATGTTACGTGTTAAATATGTGAATTTGGTCTGCTGAATGTTAATTTCCATACAGCTTTTACCTTTCAACTCACCACTGTTGCACTGAATCAGTGTCATCTTGAAGAGATTTACAATCTTCAACAGACTTATGTCTCGATACATTTTAAAACACAAGAAAACAAGATAAAATTGCAGTAGTAGTAGTAGTATAGGGTGGAAGTATCAGTGTTAATTTCGATAATAACGTAAAAAAACATTATTATCGTACAAGGGAGCCGAAACCATTTATACAGTGTATAAGTGTAACTTAGCATCTGAGTAATAAAGCCCCTTCAAAGAAACATTGCTGTTAATTCTTATAGCGGATCTGTGTTGCAGTTACTATCACTATTTTTTATTGTTGCGCAGAAGGATAGAACTGAAATAAACTGCAGAATTATTTAAATCTTATGTAGTCCGTACATGTTAGGAATGACTCGTGTGTTTAAACTTTAGAATTGCTTGTATGGGCCATTCAGAACAAGCGGCGCGGGATGCTTAGTGCCGGTATTGTCTTCCTGCATGATAACGCTAGGCCGCACACGGTTCGACGGACAGCAAGTCTCCTGCAGGAGTTTAGCTGGGAGGTGTTTAATCATTCACCCTACAACCTGGACCTCGCTCCCAGTGATTTCCATCTTTTCCTACACCTCAAGAAATTCCTGTCCGGTCAGCGTCAGCGTTTTGAGAATGACAGAGAGGCGGAGATGGTTGTCACACAGTGGTTCCAATCCCAGGCGGGCGACTTCTACGACACAGGTATTCAAAAGTTGGTCCCCCGGTATGACCAATGTCTCAATTCCGGTGGCGAATATGTTGAAAAATAGCTGGACACTTGCTGTATCTGTTGCAATAAATATTTCCATGAAATTGTGTTTTGTTTCTGTAAACGGCCCCAGGGAAACTTACTTTGTGGACGAGCCTCGTATTATGTATCAGACGAATCCTTACCCGACGTACAGAGCTCTTGGCCTGTGTGTCCCCCGACAGAATGACATTTAGAGGGTGATTACTGCAGCACCTGTATTCGGGCAGAGTATGGTTAAATGACTGGAGGGAAACTTCTGTTGCAAGGATCCTTTTATCTGAGAGGAGTCGACCTAGTTTCACTGAAGATGGCCCTGCAATCAATAAGTGCATGTTAACGTTTGTTGAAGGAGGCGTCTTATATCCTGCATTGTTTCTTAATAGACGCCACTGTTATTGTAGTCGAATTGTCCATAAAATTCAAATTATTGTGTGAAGGTTCAATACGTTTCACATTTCGTCTTGTATAATTTAATCTCTGGCTATGAGCAACCTGAATTTACCTCAACTTTACCTATTTTCTAAGGAAAAATACGATAAGGCTTATAGAGCCAGTTGGTCTGTCCATCCTTAACAACTTTTGAACCAGCTGAAAGACTTCTGTGATAGTTAGTATACACATGATGCTACTAAAGGATATGCCATCGTTGTATCTT